TTGTTGCTGGGGCCCACTCTCCACAGGGACCACTCACTGCTCTTCTCAGATGGCCCACTCACCCACGGTCCTCCCTCCCTGCAGTGATGCTGTCTCTTCCTTAAAGTGAAAAAAATCGAGGCCACCTAAAACGTTACTCAGGCCTGCTCTTCATTCATTCATTTAACAAATATTTATCAGAGCCTAATACAAGCCTGCACTGTGCAGACGTGGGAGATGCTAGAGTGAGAACGGATCAGCCACCGACCCCGCCTTCTCGGACCTCGGTGTACAATTACACTGCACATTCAGCAAAGATTACAAAGAATACTTGCACACCCTGAATGGAGCTGAGAAGGAGAATTCCAGGTGTTGCAAGCCTTAGGGGCCAGCGTAGTATTCCTTAAAAAATGATATTTGAAGAACAATCTCAACAGCAAAATGGACTTTAACTAAGGGAAGAGGCAGGGAGGAGCATCCAGGCAGAGGGAAGAGCACGTGCAGAGGCCCTGGGTGAGAAGGACCTTGCAACATTTGAGGATCTAAATGAAGCCAGAGGAGGCAGGGGCAACATCAAACACAGGGCTTTGCCCCAACCCTAAGGAGTTTTGATCTTTAAAGAAATAGCCAGCAGCCTTACAGGGTTTCAAGGAGCGAATGCCACGATAGGATTTACCTGCCCCGCGGCTACAGAGCAGGTAGGGTTTGGCCCACCTGGTTTTCCCCAGCGTCCAACCAGCACCGGCTATCCGCCGGTTCTTACCGAGGAGTCTGGGGAGGGGGTGAGAACGCAAAGCCGGCGGCGGGAGCAGCGGGCGGGGTTGGGTCGCCGCGCGGGGAGGCGTAAGGCGGCCTGCGCGGGGCACCCCCGGGGACCTGAAGCGCGACAGAGAGTCGGCGCGCTCGGGACTCGCGCCTGCCGAGCTCTCGCTTCCGCGGAAGCTGCGTCTGGTTCTCGGCGACGGGACGAGGCCACGCGGCCTAAGTGGCCGAGTCGGCGGAACCCACCAGTCTCTGGGCCCAGAGCCCCACCGCGGCCCACAGCGCCCAGGTGAGCCCCGCGCTCCAGGTGGGGCGGCCCGGTCGCCCCGGAAGCCCCTGCCCGCAGCCCCAGGCGACCCCGCCGCGGCGCTATTGGCCGCCATCTCCGGGCGGCGGTGGCGGCGGCGGCGCCGAGCGCGTCGAGCGGTGGGCGGTGTCTCCGCTGCCTGGCGACCCTGCGGTGAGGCCCGGGCCCGCACGGGGGGCGGAGAGGGGGCTCCTGGTGTCTCCCGGCGGCCGGGCCGCGGGCAGGGCAGGGACAGGGGTGGGCTGCGGGGCCCCCCTACCCGGCCAGGCCCCGCGACCCGCGGCTCCGGCCTCTCCCCGAGTGTGAATTCATACTTGTCGCCGTCGGAAAAGTGGAGCAGAAAAGCACAAGCAAGGAAGCGCGGGAGCCGAACCCCCTCTCCCGGGAGACACTCGGGTTAACATTAAGGTGTATTTCCTTCCAGTCCCCTTTTCCCTGCAAGCATGAGCGGGCTGTAGTTTTGCAGAACCTGGATCATAAAGTGCCGCAGCTCGGCTTCTTTGTCTTACTAATACATCCCACGCGTCTGCGCGCGGCTTTCGATGTTTTTCTCCATCCTTTTCATTGGCCGCGCTAGGCTGTGTTGGGGCCAGGTTGACCGCGCCTGGCCGGGGCTTGACGCTCGCTGAGTGACAGGACTGTAATTTGCATAATGGATTATCTCTCTGATGGTGAACATACAGGTGTTTTTCCGTTCTTAGCTATTACAAAAAGCAATTCGTTGAGCACTGTTCCGTCTGGTTTTTTGAGCACGATTATTTGTTTAGAGAGAATTCCTCGTAAGGCTTGTGGTATACGTTGCAAAAATGCACCTCGGAAAAGTTATTTACGTTTTTGTGCCTCGCATTTGGGAACACCTGGCTTAGGGAGCTTTCTGACAGACTTTGCTGGAGATCCCAGTGCTTCACAAGGCATCCGCCGGACGGTGTCAACACCTCTTTAAGTTTGACCTGCCTTGTAGCTGGCCTTACCTAGAGCTTTGCTGAAAAGGAACTGTGAGTACCTTAGTAATTTTTAAAACTGACTTAGGTTTAGCTTGGATAAACCATTACAGTCTCCAATACGACTAAACCTAAGTTAAAGCAAAATTCAAGCTGGGGTTAGATGAACAGTGGAAACTGTTTTATATTAAAGTCATACTCTCTGATACATGGATGCTGGGTTGCTAGGGAAGGGATTTTAAAGGATTATGCTGATGGGTATGTCACCAGATAGCCAGAAAGCTTCCTTTGAAGACATGTAAAGTTTCAAGTGAGTGAGTGACATTGTCCTTATCAGTGAAAATAAATGGAATTTGTTTCTCCATCCTTTTTATTTACATCCTTAAAACTTTGTGTTGAAATACAGGGGATTTTTCTTTGTAATGATCATTTTCCAGTTTGGTCACATGGTCGTGATAATTCAATGTATGTATGGGGGATGAATTTAGAATATGACGTGTGTTTATTAAGTCCAGTTTGTAGCTTAGAGATCTGTGTGAGACAGATATTTCTCATTATTCATATGAGTAAGGTAGAAATCGGGGACATGGACAGCTGTGATCATCTCTTGGTTATAGGTGTAATCATATTCCAAGAAACACTACTGGCAGGGCACCTGGGTTTTTGTTTTGTTTTTTAATAGTACTCTTTTATTTATTTATATATTTATTTTTTGCTGTGTTGGGTCTTCGTTTCTGTGCGAGGGCTTTCTCTAGTTGCAGCAAGCGGGGGCCACTCTTCATCGCAGTGCGCAGGCCTCTTCACTATCGCGGCCTCTCTTGTTGCGGAGCACAGGCTCCAGACGCGCAGGCTCAGTAGTTGTGGCTCACGGGCCTAGTTGCTCCGCGGCATGTGGGATCTTCCCAGACCAGGGCTCGAACCCGTGTCCCCTGCATTAGCAGGCAGATTCTCAACCACTGCACCACTTTGCCGTTTTAAAATGTACAGTTCAGTGGCATAAAGTACATTCATGACGTTGTGCAACCGTCACCACTATTTCCAAAACTTCTTCAATACCTTAAACTGATACTCTGTAAATAAATGTTGAATGGATAAGTGAATGTTGATAGTTGAGGGGAAAAGTTTTTTTCTGTGATCTTGATTTCTAACCTTTCTAATTTGCTGTGTTGTCTTTTATACTTTATATGAAATATTATAATTAATATGGTACCATGCCTTATGTTAGTGTGATAATATTTGAAGTTCCTTATAATGGAAAATTGGGCAGTTCTTTCAAGTTTGCTGAATTACTGAACTTTCTAGAGTCTCTAAAAGTTGTAGAGCAAATTTTGAATGATATCCCAAAATCTACTCTGATTTACAAAGGATGCTTATTTAAGTTTATATTATGCTGTTGGCTTACTCTATTGCTATGTATTCTCTTTGCTTTGATAGTTGCAGGATACCCTCCGCTTTCATAGGAGATATCCTAAGAAATTTTTTTTTAAGATTTTTTTTGATGTGGACCATTTTTGAAGTCTTTATTGAATTTGTTACAGTATTGCTTCTGTTTCATGTTTTGGTTTTTTGGCCATGAGGCATGCGGGATCTTAGCTGCCTGATCAAGGATGGATCCCGCACCCCCTGCATTGGAAGGCAAAGCCTTAACCACTGGACCACCAGGGAAGTTCCCCTAAGAAATATTTTTAAGACTAGAAAAATCCACAAATATATAAGGTGCTAAAAAAAAGAGGGATTTATTTTAGGCACAGTGTGTTTTGAATCTTTAGCTTTCATTCCAAAATGCTTAGCTTTTCTTTGCCTGTTGGATCGCTTTTATGGGTGCTAAGGTCTTTAATATCTTTAAAATTTTTTAATTAATTAATTAATTTATGTCTGCGTTGGGTCTTCATTGTTGTGCGCGGGCTTTCTGTAGTCGCGGGGAGCGGGGGCTACTCTTCGTTGCGGTGAGCAGGCTTCTCATTGCGGTGGTTTCTCTTGTTGCAGAGCACGGGCTCTAGGCGCACGGGCTTCAGTAGTTGCAGCACTTGGGCTCAGTAGTTGTGGCTCACGGGCTCTAGAGCGCAGGCTCAGTAGTTGTGGCGTACGGGCTTAGTTGCTCCGCGGCATGTGGGATCTTCCCGGACCAGGGCTCGAACCCGTGTCCCCTGCATTGGCAGGCGGATTCTTAACCACTGCGCCACTAGGGAAGCCCTTAATATCTTTTTAAAGACAATTTGTGGCTTCTGGCTGTTTCCAGACCAAAACGATTGTCAATCTCCCGTTTTTTACAAGGAGTGAGCACCCTTGGACATCTATACAGAAAAGGCTAGAGTAGATCTTGGGAGCAAAAAATAGTTGAAATTATTTTTCAGTAGGTTTGGCAGGGGTACAACTGTTAATCCCAAATCTTCAAATGTGGGGGGTTTTCTATGCATGTGAGTATTATGTGTGCTTCTGATTTTAGCATTACAGCCCAGATACTGTTTAGTTAATTACACAGGAGTTCTGGACTTTAGTTTTGGCTTGGGCTCTTCTAGTGACCAGAGCAAACTACGTAACTTTTATGGATTTATTATTGGTACTAGTAAATTAAGTGAGCTTGAGTAAGTGGGCAAATTAAGTTTGCTCTTAGAAAGCAAACTGGCATATCCCTGGATGCTTCTTGCAAGCTTAACACATATACCATACATTTCACCCACTTAAAGGGTATTCAATGGGTTTTTTATATATTTTTATATATTTCACCCATTCAATTCAATGGGTTTTTTATATATTACAGTATTAATTTTTTAAGTTGTGATAAAATATATATGACATAAAATTTGCCGTTTTAAAATATACAGTTTAGGGGGCTTCCCTGGCTTCCCTAGTTCAGTGGCATAAACTAGAGTGTATTCTCTGGTTTTAGGAAATTATAAATCTATAACAGGTGAAAATATGATTGGCTAATTTGCGTGATTTCACTTCTTTCCCTGAAAATTAGATATTGAAATTCTATTGTATGTAAACGCTGTTTCATCAGAAACTGCATGCAATTTAAGAAATGGATTGCAGAGTTAGAAAAACTCTTTGCAGATGTCATCTTTGTTGCTCTCAGTCTTTCTTTGCTGCAATTCTCCTTTTCTCTTTCCTGGCTGCTAATTGGATTAAAGACTGTTTTGCCAACCATGGCATCTGGAGATGACAGTCCTATCTTTGAAGATGATGAAAGGTAAATGTCTTGCATTGCAATAAAACTAGCTTATGAAAATTTCAAGATGGTTTTAATCATTCAGGAGAGTTATTTATCCAGGCTACTTTTTAAAGGACACATTTTGTAATATTGCAGAACACATAGGTTTGCTTTTCTGTGATTTTGAGCAAGGGTGGTAAACACCTGGCATGGAGGTTAGCAGCACTAACGTGGCATGCTTTCCCATAGGACCTGGATGTAAGGTCTCCAAATCCGTCTCAGCACAAAATTCTTGGCAGTCACTTCAAAACGATATAAAATCCATTTACTGTCTCTGATTTAGACCCTACAAAGGAGATTAGAGTGAATGAAGAGTAGGATGTAGTTAAGAGACAGACTCTGGAGCCAGAGTCCTAAGTTTACATCCCATCTGCCACTTACTGTCACTGTGACCTTAAACAAGCCCTTGGCCTCTCTGAGCCTCAGTTTCCTCATCTATAAATAGACATAATGATAGTACCCATCTCATGGTGAGGATTCTTTGAGTTAATATATATAAAGCTCTTAGCACAGTGATTGACACACAGTAAGTACTAAATAACTGTTAGCTATGATCATTATTGCTGTAATAAATGTTACTTCTCTCAAAGCTAAAGATCTATTTCAGTATCAAAATAGTACTTACATGTTACATATTCATTATACATAACAGGTTATTCACACAGGACACACATATAATATATATTTTATATTAAATTGTGCCAGAAACTTGACAAAACAGAATCCTTTATATTTTTAATAAGATTTCCTGTAATAATGACAAGATTCCTATCTTCCATAACATTTTTATATCTATTATAGAACATTTCTTCCATGACTTCTTTTTTCCTCAGTCTTAGTATTATAAATTAGAACCTTTTTTGTTAAAATTAATCCCTAGTTATTGGTTTAAGTATCAAATGTTTTGAGAATTCTTGCTTTAGAGTGATTGGATCTGAAAAAGTCAAACCAAAATTAAATACTGTGCTCATTAAGTGACGGGAGGGAGAAGTGGAAACTTTTTACTGACCTTTCCAAGCATTATTCTGTGGCCTAGCTTAGAGTACTGTCGTGGATAAACTGACTGATTCTTAATCCTATTATATTAAGGTGACTTTGGAATTATCTGACTATATACCCATATATAGTAATTTCATCTTAAAAGAAGAATGTATAAGAGGGAGAAGATAGTTAGTTACATGTACTGTAAGTAGGCTTTCTTAGCTAATATCACTTTAATATTTTATAATTTCAGGGCTTTTTGAAATCTGATATTTTCACCTTGGAAGGATTAATTGGTTATTCTATTACTGTTTTGGCCTATTATAATTGCTTAATTTTATTCCCTTAGCCCTCCTTACAGCCTGGAAAAAATGACAGATCTCGTAGCTGTTTGGGACGTTGCTTTAAGTGATGGAGTCCATAAGATTGAATTCGAACATGGGACCACATCAGGCAAACGAGTGGTATATGTAGATGGGAAGGTAGGAAAAAATGTTACTTCGTAAAATATGGTGTACAGGGAAGCTTGATTTTGCTAATGTAGATTCTTCATATGTGAATGCAAGGCTTTTCTCTTACAGTGGTTATCTTTATATATTGGCCAGTATCATTTTTTGATGCAAAGCAAACTAATAATAGTTGTGCAATTCATAGACTATAACATCTAATATTTAAACTTAAAATGGCTTTATTTTCTGAAACCTTTGTATTGTGAAAATATTAAATTTTCTTCCATTTATGTGTTTTCAACTTTTATATTTTATTACTTAGGAAGAGATAAGAAAAGAATGGATGTTCAAATTAGTGGGCAAAGAAACCTTCTGTGTTGGAGCTTCAAAGATGAAAGCAACCATAAATATAGATGCTGTCAGTGGTTTTGCTTATGAATATACTCTGGAAATTAATGGGAAAAGTCTCAAGAAGTATATGGAGAACAGATCAAAAACCACCAATACTTGGGTATTACATTTGGATGGTGAGGACTTTAGAGTTGTGCTGGGTAAGTGAGAGCCGTTTCTGCAGAATTTGTTGGCTTTTTATGGTGGCCATTTTATTAGTTCCTCTTAACTGTCCAGACCTTTTATGGGAGCTTTGAATAGGAGAGAATGTTAAGTGCAGTTATATTTCTCATGTGTCCTATGGAAATGAAGTATTCATTGAATCAACTGATTCATATGGAAAATATGAGAGCCAGGTTTTATAGTGATGGATTCGAGGATTATAAACTTGGGTGTAAAAAAAAGGAATATTGATGTAGACATTTGTTATTATTTGATATTTCTCTTTAAAACCATGTCTAAAGGCAGTTGGAAATTAAAGATTCATCAGTAAAAAGGGAATTTTTCTCTAGGTAGCAATAGGTTTAGGACTGCAGCAGATCAAAATCATCAGTCCAGATAAAGTAGATTAAAAAATAAAAAGTAAGCCATTGCTCTTTAAGCTAAGTTCTGCTCTTACAGATTGCCATCTGTGTTCTCAGCTTCTATTGGGCCTACAAAACTTGCAAGACAAATATTTACTACCTTTTCACTCTTCTGGTTACTCTTAGTATTTCCTGCTTCTCATATCACTAAGTTAAGACTATGCAGATCATCTCATTAATTCATTGATTCATTTATTTAGGTAATATTGAGAACCTCTTAAAGGGCAGTTTGTGTACCAGGCCTTGAGGATACATAAATGAAGAGACTTTGTCTCTGTCTTTTAAGAGTATATAGTCTTGGGCTTCCCTGGTGGCGCAGTGGTTAAGAATCCGCCTGCCAAGGCAGGGTACATGGGTTTGAGCCCTGGTCTGGGAAGATCCCACATGCCACGGAGCAACTAAGCCCATGCGCCACAACTACTGAGCCTGTGCTCTAGGGCCCGTGAGCCACAACTACTGAGCCCACGTGCCACAACTACTGAAGCCCTTGCACTTAGAGCCTGTGCTCCTCAACAAGAGAAGCCACCGCAATGAGAAGCCCGCGCACCGCAACACAGAGTAGCCCCTGCTCACCGCAGCTAGAGAAAGCCCGCATGCAGCAACGAAGACCTAACACAGCCAAAAATAAATAAATTTATTTTAAAAAAAGTATATAGTCTAGTTGAATGCTAGAAAATACCTTACTTTTTTTTTTTTAAGAATGAAAAATATTTATCAGGTAATAAATGCACATAGTTGGAAAAAAAAGGAAACCAAAAACTCCTGTATGTTTTATTTATTAAAGAAATTGGGTCAGTTTTTCTTGAAGAGGATAGGAAACCACCAAATTGTCTTCCAAAGTGGCTGTACCATTTTGTGTTCCTCCCAGCAATGAGTGAGAGTTCCTGTTATTACGCATCTTTGCCAGCAGTGTTGCCAGTGTTTTGGATTTTGGTCATTCTAATAAGTGTGTAATGATATCTCACTTTTAATTTGCAAGTCCTTAATAATATGTGGTGTTGAGCATCTTTTCATATGTGTATTTGCCATCTGTGTATCTTCTTTGGTGAGCTATTTCTATAGAGCTTTTGCCCATTTTTCAGTTGGGTGCTTTGTTTTCTTACTGTTGAGTTTTAAGAGTTCTTAGTATATTTTAGATAACGAGTTAAAAAAAATTGGAACCATAATCTTTAGTGCATTATGAGATTTGTTTTACGTATCATGGGAAAAAAGCAGATTAATTTTTTCAACCATTTTGGCTTCAGTTATATTTAAAAGACTATGTCTAGGTTGCCATTTAAATACTTGTTGTCAATTCTAAAAATGTAACAAAGATATTTAGATACACGTTCTTTATCGGATACATTTTGCAGTTATTTTCTTCCAGCCTGTGACTTGTACTGTCATCTTTATTTCTTTTTGATTTAAAAAATTTTCCTCCTCTTCATTTTCTGTTTCTATTAAGGGATTATTTATTATGTTTGTTTTGTGTTCCTTTTAGCTTAGTCCTCATTTATGAAATTATTTTTATTTCTAATTTTTACTGAGTTCTATACTTCATTTCTCAGAGTTTCTCTAATCATTGTTTAATCACTTTCATATCTTGTATGATTTTCTTAATTTCTTTCAGCTCATTTTGAAATAGTATTTTACAGCTTTACCTTTCATGTAAGCATGTCTGTCTGATATTTCTATTATCTATAATGATGGTAGTCTGTTCTTTTTTCTTACAATTTTGTATGGATCTAGAGCTCAGTACTTCTCTTTGATAATTCTTATATGATCTTAGTTTTTCTGAATTTACAGAAGGGAGTGTGGTCTTGTGTAGCTTTTTAAACTTCACGTTCTTGAGTTCCCTTTTCTGTCATTTTTGGATGATGTTAAAAATCATTGGGGCACACTTTCTGAGATGGCTGCTGTTTCCTTACCCCGTTTTTTCTAGATTTTCTCTTTCTTTTACTGTCGTTTCCCTGGGTGCTCAGTTTGGATTGTCTTCCCACAAGTTTCTTCTCAGTGTGGGGTTTGTACTGGAAGGGAGCTTCGGCGGGTTGGTTTGAGGGTTCCTGGGGCCCAGACTGCTGTAGCCCTTTCAGACCCCTCCCGCTGCTCCCACACCCCATCCACTGTCAGGATGTAAAACCCCTTCTAGTTCAGCTGCTCTTCACACATCCCCCCTCCGAACGCTCCAGTTAGAACCAGGACTGCCATCTGGGGATTCTTAGGTCCACCAGAGGCTCTGCTGCTTCCCTCTGCTTCCTTCTGCATGGCTGCCGATACTACAGCTACGGTCTTGTAGTTGCCCATGTAGATACTGTCCATCGGGTCTTTGGTTCTGTTCTGTTGGCCTGTTTTAGCAGGGGAAATTTGGAGACAGTAAAAAACTCATGCCTCTGCTGCCACTATCACCATCTTCATCATCAGCTTTCAAATTTACTTCATCCCCTGTTGAGTAAGATGAGGCTGTGAACATATAGTTCCCCCGCCGCTCCTCTCCCACCTTTACCACCTTCAACTTCTGTCTTCTCTACCTTTTCTTTGACATCATCAGAGTAGTTAATATTTGTATTCTGTTCTGTAGCCATAACTGTGTTCTCCTGTGTTTTTTCTATAGGTTGATTCTAAAATTAAAAACCAATAAATAACATTTATATTATTGTGATTTTGTAAATATTTTTGGCGTGGGCCACGGTTACATTCTTTCTCTGTATTATTGTCATACCCCCTGTGCCACTCAAAGGAAGTTGTTTTTAGTGTCAAGGTCAAGTGAGTTTTCTGTTCTATAATCTACCAGTTTCTCAAAATTATACCTATTTTTTGTTTACTTCACAATTGGACCTTGATTTTTTTTTTTTTTTTAGTCATTTGTTTTTCTGGGCTCTTCTGGTGGCTTTTCTGTTTTCTTGTTGGAAATGGAAATATATCTTCTTTGCTCATGTTCCTAATGTCTGTTTGCATTTTTTATTCGTATTATCTATTGCTTCGAAATCTTCTCATTCTTAATGACAGTATTCTTGGGCGTCTGTTGACTTCCTGTTCAAAACTAGATAGTTGCTTCCCAGGCCTGCTGCCCAGAGGTTGTCCTGGGCTTGCTTTCATGGAACCCTGGCTTTAGTTCCATCAGTTATTGAATCCCACAGCTGCCAGTTTTACCTTTGTTTACTGGAAAATATCCTTAAGTGATTTCCTAATAAAGGGTGTCTAGGAGCTAAATATTATATGAACCTTATACGAAGTTGATACTTTTGCAGAGTATAGAGTTCTAGCTTTAAAATGTGTTTTTTTTTTCGCCTGAGAAATTTTGAAAGCCTTGTTCCATTGTCTTCTATTGTCCATTGGTTTTTTTTGTTGTTTTTTTTTTGTTTTTGTTTTTGTTTTCGTTTTTCAGGCTCTGGACGCACAGGCTCAGCGGCCATGGCTCACGGGCCCAGCCGCTCCGCGGCACGTGGGATCTTCCCGGACCGGGGCAAGAACCCGTGTCCCCTGCATTGGCAGGCAGACTCCCAACCACTGCGCCACCAGGGAAGCCCTATTCTCCATTGTTTTGAATGAGAAGTTCTATGCCAGTCTGAATCTCATTAGTTTTTTCTTTCTGGAAGCTTTTGGGGGCTCATCTTTATTTTCCAGAATTTTACAGTGTTGTGTTTAGAAATGTAGTGGCTCACCAGCTACTTTACTTTTAGGTGAAAAATGGTATTTCAGCATGGTTTTTATTTGCCTCTTTCAGAATTGGGTGAGGTTGAGCCTCTTTTCATGTGTTTAAGGTCCTTTTGTGTTTCTTTTCTGATAATGCCTGTATGTATCCTTTGACCTGTTTTCTCTTGGGTTGTTGGTCTTTTTCTCCTTGATTGCTAGGAGTCCTTCTATTACTAAAATTAGCTCTTTGTATTGTGAGCTTCAAGTATTTTTCCCAGTCTGTCATTTATTATATGACTTTGCTTATACGTATGCATGTTTTTTTAATCATGCAGAAATCTTTTTTACTTTCATGTAGTCAGATTTACTTACCCCTTTTCTTTTATGGCTTCTGGATTAGCAATGTTCTTCAGAGGCATGTTAATAACAGCTATTATAGAAAGTCTGAGTACATGTACACATTCAGTTGGCCCACTAAATAAAATTCCGATTGTCACCACCATCATGGTTTATTTGAGCACCATGTGCTCTGATCCAGGTGGCTGAGCTGGGTTTCCCCACAACTGTGGCCGTAGATGCTCCCCACTCAGGCTGCCATTGGGCTTCCCCTCCCATACTTCCTGGGCCCCTCTGCTCTTCTCTCTCTCCCTCTAGCCCAGTTCAAAGTCCTTTCTCCACTCTCTAAGTGAGGCTCACATCTCGAGGTGCAGGGAGAAGAGACCATGTTCCTGGAGTAGATGGCTTGTCAGTGTCAAGGCATCTCAGCCTTGACACCCAGGCAGGTTTGTTTGTTTTTTTTTTTTTTTTAATGTGAATAGTACTTTTTTTCTTTTTCTTTTTAAGAAGATGTTGGGGGTAGGAGTTTATTAATTTATTATTTTTGCTGTGTTGGGTCTTCGTTTCTGTGCGAGAGTTTTCTCTAGTTGTGGCAAGCAGGGGCCACTCTTCATCGCGGTGCGCGGGCCTCTCACTATTGCAGCCTCTCTTGTTGCGGAGCACAGCTTCCAGATGCGCAGGCTCAGTAGTTGTGGCTCACTGGCCTAGTTGCTCCACAGCATGTGGGATCCTCCCAGACCAGGGCTCGAACCCGTGTCCCCTGCATTAGCAGATTCTCAACCACTGCGCCACCAGGGAAGCCCGTGAATAGTACTTTTTAATGATTTGAAATTTAAATGCAAACAATTACCAGAAGGAAGCATGTAATTTTTTTTTGAATTGAATTTTTAAATTTAATTTTATTTTTTTATACAGCAGGTTCTTATTAGTTATCTATTTTATACATATTAGTGTATATATGTCAATCCCAATCTCCCAGTTCATCCCACCACCACCCCTCCTTTCTCCCCTTGGTGTCCATACGTTTGTTCTCTACATCTGTGTCTCTATTTCTGCCTTGCAAACCAGTTCATCTGTACCATTTTTCTAGATTCCACATATATGCGTTAAAATACGATACTTGTTTTTCTCTTTCTGACTTACTTCACTCTGTATGACAGTCTCTAGGTTCATCCACGTCTCTTCAAATGACCCAATTTCGTTCCTTTTTATGGCTGAGTAATATTCCATTGTATATATATGCACCACATCTTCTTTATCCATTCATCTGTTGATGGGCATTTAGGTTGCTTCCATGACCTGGCTATTGTAAATAGTGCTGCAGTGAACATTGGGGCCCAGGCAGGTTCTGACCCCTGGGCTCCGTGTGCACACACAGGTCCCACTTTTCTCTAATCTTCGTTATAACACCCAAAGCTCGTCTTCTGGCTGCTTAATGAGTGCAGTCCTCCCACCTGCCACTCCCTGGGACACTGACATTCACAAGTGGCTCTAGGGATCCTCCCCCAAAATGCATATGCGTTTGTGACACGCGTACACATGTACACACCTCCCTGGAGTGAGCTGCGGCTGCTTAGCTAATGCCCAAGTGTATCGTGGCAGCATTTTGCTCTATCGTGTCAGCACTATACTCTGAACCGTCCATCAAGTACTATACCTATATTTTTTTTCTTATGATCCAGTAATTTTCCTCAAAGTGAAACCATAACAAAATGAATAGAGATTATTGTGCTATCCAGTATGAAATTTAAGGCTAAATTGCTATCTGTCCTGTATGAACAGCAAGGTAGCCTTTTTTGGTGGTCTCTTTGTGCCATCATCCAGTCGGGTTAGTGAGAGGCAGGAGGAATCATCTAGTCACTGATGTTAAAGGACGTTCTAGGAGGGATAAATTAGGAGTCTGGGATTAGCAAATACACACTACTATATATGAAATAGATAAATGACAAGGTCCTACTGTATAGCACAGGGAACTCTACTCGATATTCTATAATAACCTATAAGGGAAAAGAACCTGAAAAAGAGTGTGTGTGTGTGTGTAACTGAATCACCGTGCTGTACACCTGAAACTAACACAACATTGTAAATCAACTATACTCCAATAAAAAAAAAGCAATACTTGCTATAATCCAAAAAATAAAAATAAAAAAGGGATAAGGTCAAATATTACATTACTTGAAGTACGTAGGTTTTTAAAAGTCCAAAAGCACTCTTTACTTTGCTAAAATATATTGGTATCCTAAATGGAAACACATTGTAATCCTGGGAGTGTGTAAACCCTTCTTTGATTCACAACCAGACCTTAAAATTTTATTAAAACATTTCAGATGATATGAAAAAAAAAGACACTCTGTGTGGAAAGGTCCCTCTTCGCATTCATTTGTCTGCATCCTCCTTTAAAGATTTTCTTTAACAAGTCTTCATTAATTTGCATTGGGATCATGATTTTCTCTTAAAAGATTGCTTTCATTTTTATTCCGTCTATGAACCAAAGATAAACACAGTTTCTTCAAATTTGGAAGAATTTCAAAGCCATGAATGGAATTAATGGAGTTTTCAAAATCCAGTGTAACAAACTCTTCTTAAAATAATAAAGTGTTAACTTTAAATCACAGATTATAATTTTTTTTTCATCTGTTACTTTTACAGAAAAAGACACTATGGATGTATGGTGCAATGGTAAAAAAATGGAGACAGCAGTAAGTTGACCTTTTGATTACTCTCACCATATGCGTGAGTGACCATTGAAACGTTGCTGTGTTTCCTAACTGGAGATTTTATAAGTAATGAAGGTCCTCTTTGTTAAAAACAAAAAAGAGATGAAGTAATCCTGACTCCAAAATCTGAAGAACTTCCCTGGGCAGTGCCTGGGGCAGTGAGAGTTTGTTAACAACTTACGTGTGGCACCAAGCTCATACTCTACCTTTCCTCTCCTGGACCAGCCTCTACCCTGAAGAGTTCCCACATTTACAAAATCCTCCCCAGCGCGGTGCAGCGCAGCGCAATCTGCTGCACGTTGGGACCAGGGTCCGGTGTGGAGAGTCCTTCGTCCTGGGACACGGGCGCGGCTGAAAAGGTGGCCGCCCCCTCGCCCATCACGCCCATTTCATGGGGTCCCTGGTGCTAAACCATCCGTAGACAATCTGCTTCTGGGTCCGGGTTTCGTACCTAGCAGAGCAGCTCCCTTGCTGCAAACTTATTGAAAGTCAGCCCTCGACACAGGGGTTTGTAAAAAAAAAAAAAACAAAAAGAAAGAAAGAAAAAAAAGTCCTCCCCAAAGGTTGAGTCCTCCTGTTTATCCAGGTTAAAGGGGTGCTTTATACCACTGCTTCTCAAACTTGCATGCATAGAATCAGTTGGGATCTTGTTAAAATGCATATTCTAACATGTCCTCAGGTGTTGCCAGAGCTGCTGGTCCACAGGTCACACTCTGAATGGGAAGGCTTTACACCATACACTCAAAAAGCAGATAGTACTTTTCTAAAAGCAAAGGTTGTGAAATAGAAATGATGCACACAATGTCAGGTGACACAAAGGCAGGTAGGAAAGGGCACTGTCATGAACCCCAGAAGACAAGTGGAATTTGTAGAGTAGCAGTGCTAAGAGGCTACCCCACCCATTGAAGCCGAGCACAATGAAATCCCCATCCAAACCCCAGTGTGTTGGGCTTTTGCTGCTTGCCCTGTTAGGGCTGTGGTGGGATGAATATAGGAGTGCATCTTAAGTGGGAAGGAAATAATAGTGGTATGTACAGCAGGGGAGGAAGTGAAGCAGGGGAGGTGGTCCTGGACAGCTGGGAGTGTGGAAGCAGGAGCTGGAATCTTTGGGTGGAAATTCCCATGTGTTCTGGGGTCAGCTGGCAAGCAGGCGGTATACCAGCCCTGGTGTCCCCTTTCATGGCTTCAGACGTGAACACCAGGGCTAGAGATCGTGAGAAGCTCTCTTCCCCTGGCACAGTTTAGCTAGTTGCAAGTTGTGGTTGCTGCTGTTATCTCCCTTCTCTATTGTAGGTCTGGGAAGGTGAGGAGATGTGCTTGGAGGGAAGGTCTGGGATGAATGTATTCAGCATACTAGCTGGGTCTTATAGCCAATCTGCTTCTAAGGAAGTGCCCAAGCCAGAAATCAAAAGTTACAAAGATTAATGCTTTTCTCTTTATTAATCCTAGTTTTAATTCTTGAAGGGAAATGTAACCAGGGCTCACTCAAAATTGATCCTCCAGAGTTTGATCCACCCTCTGGGTTAAACCTACCCATCGAGACTTTTATGCAGAGAGGCTTGGAGAGCTCTTCAGTATTTTATGTCTCCTTTTGGACCAGCTTAAGTTTCCATGCCTACTGTGTGCCCGATGCCACATCTACTAGTCCTTCCTATTCTCTCTTTCCTACCCTGGAATTCCCTAGATGGAGAGTCTGCAGTTTGGGATCACATTCCTTCCACCCTCCAGGAATTCTCCAGTGCAAATGTAAAGAGAGATTAAAGAATGTGGTTGTAAATAAGTAGGGAGTTGAAAATAATGTCCATCCACAACGTCTTTGTTCCTGAGTAATTGACAAGAAACCACAAGTGTTTGGACAATAGCTCTGTCTCACCCAGTTGCCTCCTCATTGTAACTACGACCTAGTTTGCCGGGCAGTCTTCCCCAGCACTATGCACACCTGCTCTTGCTGCCTGTGAGTTACAGCTTATTTTCTCCATTTCCTTTTCATCTCAAAGCATCCTGACCAAGACCATGTATCTGTCAAATTACCAAGAAGCTACTGACAAGGATTGTATTATTCAACCCTTCCTCTGCCCTCTAAATTGATTTTTACAGAAGTATGACCTGAGGGATTTTTTCAAAGCTCAATGTGAAAAGGGGTAAAAAGAACACACTAGACTCCAGGGCCAGCACCCCCAGTCCTTGTGGTCAGTACACCTCCGTGTTGGCCAGATTCTTCCCAGAGCTAAGAAAAAGCTTCCCTCTCTGATGCCTCCTGTGCTTTCTTTGGTTAGATAATGTTAGCTACAGGGCCTTGCTCTGTCTGCTTTGGCTGCCAGGAAGCTCATAGCCAAGTTGTGTGTCTGATGGTGCTTCCTTGCATAATCCACTTTTATCCTCTAAGCCTCCTGTTCTTCCTTCCTTCTCTGTACTACTTGGCCCCTACCTTTTTACTCTAGATCAGTGCTGTTCAGTAGAAATATGAGCCACAGATATGAGCTTCATATATAACTTCTCTAGTAGCCAGATTTCAGAAGTTTTACAGTGAAGTTCATCTTAATAAAAATTAGATTTAAATCAGTATATCAAAAATATTATCATTTAACATGTAATAAATATAAAAAGTTTCTACTGAGTTATTTTACATTCTTTGTTTCATACTAAGTCTTCCAAATCCAGTGTATATTTTACCCTTAACAGAGTATCTCATTTTAGACCCACCTCATTACATGCTCAGTTGCCACATGTGGCCAGTGGCTACTGTACTGGACAGAGCAAGTCTAGACTCAGTAGTGTTTGGTTTTATGTTATTTTTTATGTTATGTATTTATTGTAAGCCACCGTATACACTGGGGAATCAGATGTTCAGAGTGGTTAAGAACACTCCATCCCTTACTGACTGGGGCCTTCAGCAAGTAATTTAACTACTCTGTGCCTCAGTTTACTCACATATCAAATGTGGATAGTAATCGTACTCCAATCAGGTTATTGTGAGGATGCAATAAAATAACGCATGTAAACCATTCTTTGTATAGAATAAATCACTAATAAATGTTTGCTATCAGGTTTATTATTTTTACTTTTGAAAATGGTCCACATTGTCTACATAGTATATGTTATAGACACATAGCCATTAGGTACACTTTTTTTTTTCTCTGAAACAAGATTCTTAAAGATTGTAGGGGGTACAAATAAGAAACCTTCATAACAGAGACATAAAAGCATCTAAATACAAGCTTCTAACTTTAATCTTACAAAGTTTAACATTGAACTAATACGTACTTCATTATACCTCCCTTTTTGGGTGATGTTAATGCTCTAGACAAAGATAAATGTTTCTGGAACACTAATTCCTCCTTCTTTTGTTTGCCCAGGGTGAGTTTGTAGATGACGGGACTGAAACTCACTTCAGTATTGGGAACCATGACTGTTACATAAAGGCTGTCAGTAGTGGGAAGCGGAAAGAAGGGATTATTCATACTCTCATTGTGGATAATAGAGAAATCCCAGAGCTTCCTGAATGACTTCATGTTAATGAATTTTAATCTTAAGAAGTAAAGATCAGGACTTTTAAATTACTGTGGTGATTAAATATGTTCAGTATGTACTTTTTAGTACATCTAGTCGCCATGTTTTTATTTTTTAGTTACCTGAAACTGTAATGTTCCAAAGGTCAGGAAAAAAAAATTATGTATCATAAATATTGCAATTTATTTTGTAAATAATGTAAAATGTTTTAACGTCACATGGAAAATAAGATATGGACCAAAAATCACTAGTGTTTTACAAAAGCAACTTTTACTATAATAAATGCTATAAAATAAAATTGGTGCTGCTTGATTTGTTTCTTAAAATGGATGTCTTTGTATATTTTTAACCTGTGCAGATAGATTGTCTAGTTTAAAGCAGTTGGTATACAATGATATTATTAGTTTAACTGAAATGAAAACATTTTCTATCTGTAAACAATGTTAAGGAGATGTCAAAGAGTGTCACGTAAGAATTTAATTAAAAATAGGTTTCTGAAAATCCAGTTGTTTAATCAGCATGATCAGGACAAAAAAAAAAGGAAGAAGCAAACTTCTTTACACCAGACAGCATCAGCTGCATTGTCAGGCAGTGTTTAGAAAGAGTCGCACACCTGTGTGGAGGTAGCTAGCACCAGTGTTAGCGCTTTGTGACTGAAGCACACCCACCCAGGCAGATTCACAGAGATGCCGCCTCAGTACGGGAAGTGGTCCAGATTGTGTCAGTACTCGTTTCTGAAGGTCTTTCAGAGCAGGACATGGTTTAATAGTAGAGCCTTTTATCAGGGTATTTCATGTCCATTATCACGTGGGGATCCTCCATAAGAGGGAGAATTCTCCATTTTCTAGACTTGCTTTGTCCACTAGGGTAGCCATTAGTCATGTAGCTATTTAAGTTAAATTAACTAAAATGAAACAATTAAAAATTCCTCTACCACACTAGCCACATTTCAGGTCCTCAGCAGTCACATGAGGCTAGCAGCCACCACATTGGACAGTGCAGATACAGAACATTTCCATCATCATACCGAGTCTGACTGGACAGCACTGGTCTGGAGACATTGTCTCAAGCTTAGTGAGCTGTTCTGTACTGGAACAGGCAGGATTTAGACCCAGGTTTTTCTTTCTTCTTTTTTTTTTAACATCTTTATTAGGGTATAATTGCTTTACAATGGTGTGTTAGTTTCTGTTTTATAACAGAGTGAATCAGTTATACATATACATATGTTCCCATATCTCTTCCCTCTTTGTCTCCCTCCCTCCCACCCTCCCTATCCCACCCCTCCAGACAGCCACAAAGAACCGAGCCGGTTTCCCTGTGCCATGCGGCTGCTTCCCACTGGCTATCTACCTTACGTTTGTTAGTATATATATGTCCATGTCTCTCTCTCGCCCTAACACACCTCACCCTTCCCCCTCCCCATATCCTCAAGTCTGTTCTCCAGTAGGTCTCTGTCTTTATTCCTGTTTTACCCCTAGGTTCTTCATAACATTTTTTTTTCTTAAATTCCATATATATGTGTTAGCATACGGTATTTGTCTTTCTCTTTCTGACTTACTTCACTCTGTATGACAGACTCTAGGTCTATCCACCTCATTACAAATAGCTCAATTTCGTTTCTTTTTATGGCTGAGTAATATTCCATTGTATATATGTGCCACATCTTCTTTATCCATTCATCCGACGATGGGCACTTAGGTTGTTTCCATCTCCGGGCTATTGTAAATAGAGCTGCAATGAACATTTTGGTACATGACTCTTTCTGAATTCTGGTTTCCTCAGGGTATATACCTAGTAGTGGGATTGCTGGGTCATATGGTAGTTCTATTTGTAGTTTTTTAAGGAACCTCCATACTGTTCTCCATAGTGGCTGAACCAATTCACATTCCCACCAGCAGTGCAAGAGTGTTCCCTTTTCTCCACACCCTCTCCAGCATTTATTGTTTCTAGATTTTTTGATGATGGCCTTTCTGACTTAGACCCAGGTTTTTCTAACGCTAAAACCCATGTGCTGTACTACCTTCTCCCTGCCGCTCACGTATTTCTAAGAGATTTGGGGCAGAACAGAGGCACAACCACGCTCTAACATCAGGCACGAGGAACTGAGGGGCAGGACAGCAGCGAGGGAACGTGGCTCAGACAGGCGGGGCCCCGGCAGGCAACATGCGTGGTGGCAGAGCATATTAAAATTAGCCTGAGTTACCTACTCTGACATTTGTTTTATTTGAAGTCTTACAACTGTAAGGTTAGCACACCACATATATAGAAATCATCCCCCTGCTCTCCCCATGCCACCCCCCAGCCTTCCTTCACTTCCACTGGAAGATTAGGACATGAATGAACTAAGGCGTATTAAACTCATTTTTGGGTTTGCTTTCAAGTGTTTGGGTGTGGTCGTTTTCATTTCCCTTGAATAAAGGGCGTTATTTATTTGTTTGTTTGTTTATTTATTTATTTAATGGCTATGTTGGGGCTTCGTTGCTGTGAGCAGGCTTTCTCTAGTTGCAGCAAACGGGCTACTCTTCGTTGCGGTGTGTGGACTTCTCATTGCGGTGGCTTCTCGTTGCGGAGCACGGGCTCTAGGCGCACGGTCTTCAGCAGTTGAGGCATACGGCCTCAGTAGTTGTGGCTCGCGGGCTCTAAAGTGCAGGCTCAGTAGTTGTGGCGCACGAGCTTAGTTGCTCCGCGGCATGTGGGATCTTCCCGGACCAGGGCTGGAACCCATTGGCAGGCGGATTCTTAACCACTGCACCACCAGGGAAGCCCCTAAAGGGCGACTTTTAATGGCCATATTTATGTCCAAAAGCAAAGCAATTATTTTTAGGCACTTTGTTTTGAACTCTAGCTATTAACAGTCAGAACTGTACTTTGCAGTGTGTTATTATGTTCCTCAGCAAACACATGGGAATACAGTTTGATTCAGTCTTTTGGAGACCAAACCTCGAGAATTGTAGTTTGCCTTTGACTTGGTGAACCCATGTTTTTTGTTTTGTTAATTTAAAGCAGCTTGGGGGAATTCCCTGGCAGTCCAGTGGTTAAGACTCAGCGCTTTCACTGCCAAGGGCCTGGGTTCAATCCCTGGTTGGGGAATTAAGATCCCACAAGCCTTGCAGTGCAGCCAAACAAACAGAAAACCCAGCAGGGTCACAGGGAAGGTGTACAGCCTGGGTTTGAAGTTTGGCACCAAAGGTTAAGTTCTTGAGCCTCTGTTTCTCCAACCTAAAAAATAAGGCTATTTGTTTTGTTGTTTTGCTTAATGAGATTTTAAATGTAGAAAAAATAGAAAATAATAAAACAAACACTTGTATTATTTAACTGAGTTTACCTATCATCCAGTTTAATAAGTAAAGCATTAAAATACAACTGAAGAGCCATATACCCTTGCTATTCCCATACCCCTCCCCTGCCAAAGTAATCACTATCGTGAACTTGATGTTTACCATTCCCATGCAAGTCTGTATTAACTGTGTAGGTATATATCCCTAAAAAAATACAGTATTACTTAAAATTTTAAATGTTATATTCTATGAATCCTTCCTGCAACTTGCTTTTTTTCCATTCAATATTGATTTTGAGATTGATCTACGTTGGTACATGTAACTCCAGTTCCTTTTAACTCTTGCATTCAACCATATGAATTTAGCCATCCACTCGCCTCAGTAGTTTTCAGATGATCATTATACCATCAAAGCTCTAATGAACATCTTTGTGTCTCTGTGTGTCCCTCGAGAATATGCTCCAGTTTCTCTTGGGCTTTGCTGTTTAAAGTGTGTCCCTGGACCAGCAGCAATGACATCACCTAGGAGTTTGTTAGAAATTAAGAATCTCAGATCTTTCCAGCCTACCGAATCAGAATCTGGGTTTTAATAAGATCCCATGGTGATTTGTATGTACATCAAGGATTGAGAAGCACTGCTTTAGGTATGCTAAGAAGTAGAATTGCTGAATGAAATAGTGCAAATCATATTAAAGATTTGCCAAATTGCTCTCAAAGGTGGTTGTACCATTATAAACTTTGACCAGCAGCTTTTTTTTTTTTTTTTTTTTTTGGG